GACAACAGCCAGGCACCATTTGGGGGTTTTATGGAGCAGGACTGGTCCCAACGAGCAATGCTTGAAGCAACCAGATTCCCAGGAAGAGTTTAACTACTCACAGGCAGATAGCAGAGCTTTGCCTTCCTAAGTTTCTTAATACAAATATAGCCAGGGAGATTTGCTTCTAACTTACACAATTAAAGATACTTGCTGCGTAAATCCACGACTCGGGCCGTGCCATAATGAACAGACAGAAAATACCATGCAGGTATCTTGGTTCCTACTTGGGTGGACTGTCTTGAAACCTTGCTAGGCTCTGCTAATGGACTTGTGCTTTCTCCTGTTCACCTGGCAGAGCTGGTAAGAGCAAAAAGCAATGCCGAGTATCAAGAGCTATCTATCTAGAAGGTTGATGGGTGATTAAGGAGAGGTCAATAGGGACAAATGAAGGTGAACAAGAATCATAAGTGAACTGGAGAGGGTAGCAAGGTCAAGGAGTACATTTGCAAAGAGGAAAGATCACCAAACACAGAGCTATAAACGAACCTGTTGCAGCCAGTTTTCCTCTAAGAGGTTATTAAGATACACAAAGGTGGATGGGTATCTGATAGCACTTACCAAGCAACCCAAGCCCCTTAAGCCAGTGGGCACATAGCACGGCTGCAGTTTGTTTGGAACCGCAGTGCTTCAGAATATCTAATCTACTGCAAGTGGCTGGGGTTTATTGTTTTGTTTTGTGTTTTTTTTTTTTTTTTTTTTCAAACACATCTTATGGTCACTGTAACATAAGAACGTACCGCAACTATGCAAGTGATCTCCTTTCCTTTTTAGTTACTCATTATTCATGATCTTTTTTGGTTTTGCTGCTCACTGATCTGTACGTGGCTACTTTTAATGCCGGTATCTTGTATTTAGGCATAGACTCACTGTTAATTTTTTTACTGTGTGTAATAATTTGTCCTTTTGGCATAGGAATTAGGTCTTTTCATAAACATCCAAGCTGTGATGCATTTCCAGCACACCTATATCCTAGTAGCTGCTTTTTCTTAATGTACAATGTTCTAATTGCTCCTGTCACCTAGATCTTGGAAGACAACATAGGAAATTGCTCCATGCTTGGATTCCCTTTGTCATTCTTTAGCTTCTTTATACTTGGGCTTGTTCTTCAAAAATTCTAGCTTTTTATTTCACGTCTGTTCTCTTTCTACATCCCAGTCTTTTAATGCCATGTATGCATTTATGGGAGGGAGGAAAGGGTGTGTGGGTGCAATTCCTCAGTCAAAGCTTATTCAACATGTTTTGTACCTTTGTTCTGCTTTTCTTCCAGGGTAAGGGTCAACAGTCAGCCAGTGTTAAGTGTCATAGTCCAGTAGTCAATGGGGACAGCTCATGCAGACAAGAATCTGCTATAAAACAAATCTCTCCACACACAATCCATGCTTCCTACATGCTTTTAAAGGCTGTCTATGCTTTCCCAGTAGCTCAAATGGGAATAGAAAAATCCCAACAGAGGGTATACTTAGAATGCATAATCAGTACTCTGTGACTAATTCTCGTGTGTTAGCCCCTTTATCACTGAACACAATTTCTTTTGCAAGGTATGACGCTTTAACATGTATGAATATATAACCTCAAGCATGCACTCATGCCTGTGTAGTGGGATGTAACGTTCATGGCTGTTTGGACTGGGAAGCAACACGTGCCATGGTTACAAAGTCACCTACATGAGGATACCCATTCAGGTCTGTCCTGCTGCTACCTTGCTATGTAATCCAAAACTGAACAAACTTCTCAGCATGGCTGCAGATTTTGCATAACCAGTTTGAATTGCCTAGTACATAACCTTAAAGTCATTAACCACTCAGAACTATGAGGGCTTTTTTTAAGGTTATCTTCACCTACCTCTGTAGGTGGTATCTAATTCTTACTTTTTTCACAGTACTTTGATATATTGTGTGTAATGCCTTCTCTCCCCTGTCACTCACTGTAGTGCACATTTATTTAAGTTGGTGTAAACAGCATTAATTTTAGGTATTTAGGCACCTATTTTGCAAATAACCACACTGAAATTCTTTGTCTCTAGTTTATTTGCTGAAGATTACTCTGGGCTGAACCAAGGGTGAAAGAGAAAAACAGGCGTCACTTAGGCTGCCTGTGTATAAGAAAGCAGCATTTTAGCTCTACACTTGTAGTATATTTCCCCCCTTCCATCCTGACTGCTCAGCACAGGCTGCATTAACTATAAACCTCAGTAGTTTTGTTTCAATTTATGAAAAATTATTCTTGATACAGCAACTCCTTTTTTTTCCTTCTCTTTATTTTCCCTTGTGCATGTAGCAGACCTATGTAGCCGCTTTGCTTTACTAACCATCCTCTCTTTCACACCAGGAACAGTTTGATTCTCCAGGTTGTCAAATAAATAGCCCCTTATATCTTATTAAAAGTGAAGGATAATGATGTAACTATTATTATTTCAGACTTACTTAAGTATTGCCAGTTTATTGTGAAAAGCTGCTTATCAACATACTTTAAATATACTTTGGTAGAACTTCTGATGTCATAGATAACAACAAACAAAGACCTAACTATTAACTGCTGGCGTCAAGAAATACATTGCAGCCTCAGCAATTGTCTTCTGAAATACAGATGTGAAATAATGTTTCTGGCAAACCTCCTCAAATTAGTTAACTAGTGAAGTTGAGAACACAGGTTTACTTTGGAAAGGAAAATGCAATCAACCTGACTGCCAGCACTTAACTCTGACCCATATGTACACAGCTTAAACCACTGCTACCCAAGAACCCCATGATTTCAACACACAAGTTGTAGTCATGTCACCACTGACAAACTCCCATAGGATTAGTATTTCAGTAGGGGCTTCAGTGTTGCTACATATGACATAGGCAGTAAAATACATCTTGCACATTGCTTACTATAAGCAAGATTTCCCATATGCATGTCCAAATAGTTTTCTTCTGGCCACCTAACTGTATATGCCATTTGGTACCTAACACCATGCCTATGCTGTGACAATTGTTTACTTGTCTTCGAAGGCTGCACTCAACTTTTTGCAATAGTTTTGGGTTTATCATCTAAACCTGCCCCAGTTTTAATACAACTGCACGATATTTTATTAGGTGATAAAAGTGAACTTCAGAAAAATCTTGAAATACCCACATATTTGTGTAAAGGAATTTGATATAATCAAATTTAGTTGCATGCGTTTTTGCAATTCAAAACAGACTAAAAAATTGTTAGTGTAGTCTCAGCAAGATGACAACAGTTTAGTATGTAAAAGTGAAATTTCTTTGTAATACTTGGAATATTTAGCTATACATGAAAAGAGCAAAATATGTATCTACAACTGCACTAAGAACAAAATGTACTCTTTGCACCGTTCTTGCTCATTTAAATTAAAAACTCAGTGATTTGGTACACCATTCACTTCCTGATTATATGGGTGGAGGGTGCAGAGAAGCTTCAACATCTCTTTTTTCCTGCTTACTCAGTGGAACTGCTGCCTTTGAGCAGGAACTCTTCTCCAAACACTTGAATTTTCAGTTTTCTGCAAGTGAAACATACCCTGATGATATGTGTATGTATACACACACATATATATATATATATATAAAAATCTTTTGAAGGCTGGAGAATTTTTTTCCCTTTTAATTCCTTTCTTTCTCTAAACTCCTCTGTCTTGATTGAAAAACAAACCCAAAACTCTCCCAAGGTGTGCTCTGTGAGTGCTGCATTCCTCAAAGAAAGCCGGGTGGATTGTCCCATTTGAAGCTAAGAGAACAGACACCTAAATAATGTGCTTGGGAACTTGCCACAGTAAGATACTATTTCATCTGACAGGTGCTTTTAAAAGAAAAATCCTTCACATACAGGCTGAATTAGAAAAATATTTTTATTTACAAGAGTAAATAATGTAGTGCAAGGAGAGTGGATTTAACCCTCAATAATGCATAGATTGATGCAATTTGTAGTCTGTGATCTACATCGTTTTGCAGAGGTGCATGCACAACTGCTTTAAAAGTCAGACTTTTCCTACAGCCACTTACCAGACAGCATTAAATCAGACAGGAGGCATTTTCTCTCCATACTTGTTATCCATATATCCCAGCTAACATTTATCAAGTAAACCATTGCTTAAACAGCTGTCTTGAAGACTTACTGTAGAGCACAAAATAAATCCTTGCCAATGTTATCTATGGAAGAATCCAAAAATACATTGTTCATTCACTTTGTGTCACCTGTTCACACTTAAATATTCTTTTATTTATTCATTAAGGAAGCTGCTTTCTCTGATCAGTGGCTCTTCGCAAGGCCAAAACATTTTCTTGTGTCCACCAGGGAACTGCTGGCACTTGTGAAACTTTGACCAAGGGTTGGCCAGCAGAACTACTATGTTATGATCATATTGCAAATCTTCCTGGTGTTTTTATTTCAAACCAGAACACTTTCACATCAGAGAGTTAGGATGGAATACAAAATGCCAAAGGCCTAACTGTTATCACTGCATGTACCGAAGTCCTGGCTGGCATGCCGTGGAAGTTGGAAAGCACTGGTGGCTGGGTTTCATTTTCATGGAATTTCCATGCTTCCAACTTGGAAAACTCTGGTGACTTCACCAGTAAAATAAGCTCAAATGAAGTAAAGGCAATTTAGTAAGGTATTAGATATGTGAGTAAAACTTCATCAAAATCAGTGGGAAGTTTGCTCATTCTTAAATTAGGCAAAGACTTTGTTTGTTTCCTTCCAGTCCTTCAATGAAATACAATATGATCATGTGTTTGGTATAGTGGGATATCTGCTCTATCTGTTAGGAGTGTTCAATAAATTATAGGGATGGTTTTCCTCTATAGTGGAGAAATGAGATCAGTGAATTTCCAGACAGTTTTGGCTGTTGAACTGCATGATTAATGCCACTGATAGGGTTGGTTGCCAGTTCTTGGATTTGTGGTTGTTCATATCCCATCTTCCTATTGGGATATGAACCCTTAGAAAACTACACTTCAGCTTGTAACAAGAGGATTCTGAGGGTCTAAGTCCTGCTGTGCTAAATCGTTTGAAAACGTAGATTCATCTTGCTGCACTAGTCTGGTAGAGTTCTCGTTGCTGTTCCCTGAGGAAAGAGGTTCATCTGACAATGGTCCTGATCTTCTTCCAGGAGAACTACGGGCTTCAGAAAAATGTCAAAAGAAATTATTAAAAAAGGCCCCACTGCATCTACAAAGTCTATTTGTCAATATTTAAGTATTACGTGGATATAAAATCACATATAAGGATAATACTCAAAGGTTAAGAAATACTGAAAGAGTAGCTGTAACTTGATATACTTTGTACGTATATAGTATGATTCCTAAGTTACATAAATTATAGCTAGTAAGAAAAGAAAGCAGAGTTTCAGAATTATTTTCATAGTCAGCATATTATTCACATGTCTTAAATGCCATTTAGGAATTATAAAATTCAAATAATATTTTTATATTAGTGGTGTTTTGTTTTTTTTTCTAAGTACTATTCCCTATAGGTATTAGTTGTCAATGTGGAAAGTAATTTTTTTTTTTTCTTCCCTCTATCTCATTACAGAAATATGTCAGAAATCAGTATTTTCTGACATGGGCTTAAGCTGCCTACTGGGGCTAAATCACAACAGAAGAAAATGTATTTAGTGGAAGAAATTATTTTCATAACTGGTAATATTCATTTCACAACATCTTGATTCTATCAAGATCTTGTGATTTGAACTGAAGCACTTGGTTGAAGCTGGCAATGCCTTTTAAATGACGACTCATTATTTTTGCATGTGATGGATTCCCTCCCTGCCCCCCCCCCCCCTTTCCTAAGCAAGAAGTTTTGTTTCTGGTATCTCTTTCAATCTCATTATTTCAAAAAATAATGAGAGTTTTAACAGGCAGAAGTCTGGCATTTGGTTTTCTGTCCCTTAATATTCTCTGTTCCACCAGAAAACAGAACACACAGCAAACCCTTCTGCTTTGTCAGGAGGTGTGCAAATGCTGACTGAACGTATTTACTGACTCTGTGCCTGGTCTGAAGAGGCTGAACTGCTTCCTTCCAGGTTACTCCACGTACCAGTTCTCTGAACTTCGCTTTTTCTCCAGCTTGTATCTCCGTAGATCAAATCACATGCAGCAGGGGACACAGACTCATTGCATGTTGCAGAAACAAGGTGTGATATCAGGAGTGTAATTCCTCTAACAATACCGCATGTGCAGAGATGGGAACTAATCCTGCATTTCCAGCCATTATCTCCTGCAGCTAATGTTTTTATTAGGAATCTCCTTTATCCAGGGATATTCTCCAGAAACCAACAAGTTTAAACCTAGGTCTCACTTCATTCATCCATTTTCAGTGATGAAAAAATGATTTGCATGCCAAAGAAGTTTCTGTTCAGAGGTACCTCCACCAAATCTAGAATTCCTGCTTTTATTTTTGAAGTTTTTACTGAAATAGAAAGATCTCTTCTCTCTTTGATTTTATTATGACTTATACTTACCAGATAAAGGCTGAAAATACTGCACTGCAAATGCAACCAGAATTGACAAAAGAAGGGTTCCCATGAAGTAGATCTATGACAGTAAGTTTAAAAACATCATTAGAGTAGTGCAAAGCTAAGGTAGTGCTCCACATGAACTGTGTATGCATCAAAGGAGCAATACCTACCAGAGTAGACTGTACAATATTGTTCCAGAAAACTCTCGTGTAAAAATAAAGCAATGCTAATGAGCACGGACTAATTGATTCCTGGTTACTAGTATTCCAGCACCTACAACAAGAAGTTTAAAACAACTAATTAGTCCTCCTTTACAATTTTGTGGCATCTGTCGTCTAGGAATATCAAGTGGATTTGCAGCAAACCTCAGTAACCCAGAAAAACAAGTGGATATTATCATTGCTATCTCACAGATGGTGAAGTGAAAGTTCATAAAAATACCAGATTAAACTCATTAAGTACTGAACACCTTAAGAGTGTTTTTTTTTTTTTAATTTTCTTATTAGTCAACAATGGCTCTAAGCATCCAGGCTACTCCTGTCAAGCAGTGACAGTACAAGGTCGTACCCAAGATAGTTTGTTCTAACTAATGTGAGTCAACAGCAGTAGGACTTGATTTAAGATTAGATGTACCCAATTTAGTTGCCTATGCAGGACATTGGTGCCTAAACCCCTTTAGAGGCAATGGAGTGCCACACAATGCAGTTGGAGCTTAAAAAGTGCATTAGCTGACTAGCTACCAGGGATCTCTTGTAGGGTGAGCCGAGTAGCTTTCTCAGTTCCATCACTTCGGACTTCACCTACTAATGGAGTTCAGACAGCTAAATCACAGGCACCCACCTCAAGCTACAATTGTGAGCTTTAAGCTGAGTTAGGAGGGGTGAGTGGGAGTAGGGTGTTTATAGAGATACGCATTTTTTTTTTTTAAAATACATAAATATGTATAATTATATATGATTTACTTTTATCTCTCTCTCTGTGTATATGTAAAATTATGTGCCCTTCTGGACAAAAGTGTACCACGATGGGAAAATCCTGCAGCACTGTCAACTCTGGAGTTACTCTCACTGCAAAGCAGATAGACTCAACCCAAGTGAAGGCACAATTCAGGCTCAAGCTTACAATCCCAGATGGACCAGCTGGCCCAGATGCCCTGTTTATCTGACTGGTAACTTCATGTGGAATGGAGGCGATTTAGGTTCAGGTTAACTGCAGTGAAGAACAGTTTCAGTGGATTGTTGGTGAATCAACAAATGATGTTTCAATGTTGACATAATCTCCATTTTTTGGGGCTCACACAATGCTCAAAAGCAAAATAGAAAATAAACCACTCATTCTTGATTCACAGCCTCATGTATTAACTGTTAACTACTCCTTTAAATATCTGAAAGGCGATTCCACAAATCCACCAAATATTGTGTAAGCTTCCCATTTCCACTGTGCTTTCCAACACATGGAAACCTAAGTTCTGTAGAGGAACCAGGTCTCTAAGTGGTTTGTGCATGAACAGTGCTAGCACAGGCAGCAGATCTGTAACCTCCTCACATATCTAATATTCTCTGCCACAGCATCTGTGTTGTGCCAAGTTGGAACATCTTTGCAGAATAAATAGGAAGGACTCCTACCATCCCAGTTACATACTTTTAAGTTCTGTGTTAAATTATACTCTATTTATAATTAAAAGATAGGTTTTGGACTGTATCAAACTCCAGGGCCTAACTTAGGAACTTAAATACATTGAATTGGAAAAGACCTCCTGGATCATAAAATCCAGTCCCTGCTACTTCTGGTATAAGTAATCAAGTCTCTTTAAAGGGCATAAACTGAATTATATTTAGGTAATTTAAGTATTTCAACCATGTTGACTATAACCTGCCCTAAATTATACAAGTGAACGAGGTTAGGAGTTACAGGAGTTGCTGTTCTCCAGACTAAGTGCTACTCACATGGTAAACCAGCGGCTGCTGATTAAGAGGAAAAAAGACTCACCTGTAATAGAGTTCCTGAAGAAGGGATGTATTACTAGAATGCAATGCCCGATCAATTTCCAGGTGATCCAGGATGTAGGAAGGTATGGAGTTGCCCTCTTCTATGACAAGGGCCAAATTAAAGAAACCCTAACAATAAAAAAAGCATACATGCTTTTTAAAAAATTTTCATATGTATATTTAAGTTCTACTGTAAGCATCAAGTAGCTAAATAATTATATCTGCCTTCTATAAATTCATTTGATATGTGGTCTTCACTGAATAATTATGAGAGTCTTCCCTCCTAACCATATACCCTGGTAAATACTGAAAATGCAGAAGAGTTAGTATTCATTTGTTGTGACCCTGATTTTCTAGAAACCAACTGCAAAAAGATCTGAGGTTTCTCATCTTCAGTTGTTCTTTAAACACAGCCACCATATGCAACTGTAATCTTTTAGATACTAGGGAAATACAGACTAAAGGTGGAAATGGATTCCTGTTCTGTTACAGTTTAATTCTCCTCCACCTAACTCTATGGGGCAACAGCAACCTGAATAGTTAAACTGAGAGCAGAAATTTCATCCAGACAATTTAGGTCCTTAAATCTTACAGTTTTGCCTATTTGGACAAGTCTTAGGCATCCCTGTGTCTCTTCAGAGCCATGAAGATGACTACAAGTGACACATATTACAGGATTCCCCATCAGTTTGGCTTTCATACTTTAAAGTAACTGTGCATCTCTTCTTCCCTTTGCTAGTTTAGCAGTAATGTTTTGTTCCAATATTCTCAAAACAGAATCCAACTATGCTACCTCTAATAAATTCACATACAAGACACTGGAAGAACAGAATATTGCACCCTGGATGCTTTAGGAGGGTCTGAGGGCAGGAAATTCAGTGTTGCAATACTGCATGTCTTTGGTAAGGTGAGATACTGTAGCTTTTAATTATAAAGGATTTTAAGATGAAGCTTTTGTTGGCGGAGTGAACAAACTTCACCCTAGGATTCACTCAATATACCAAGGGAAATAGGCCAGATTTCTTATTCATATCCTAAAACAGATGATGATAGGACTGGAATACAACTCAATAGTCTGTTAATTCTTCCCCTTGCAGCAGCAAAAATACCAAGGTCACAAAAGAATCAGCTGTGCCAAGGTAAGGTAGCACTTAATTCAGCCATTCACCTTCAGCTTTCAAAACAGCCTAATTCTAGGACTGTCCATCTATGCTAGGTTTACCTTCTATTACCATCAAACAGGCTCACAAGGTATTTTGAAATAATTGTAACTTATTCTAGCAGGTTTCTTCAGTGCCAAGGTAGCCAAGCAGAATAACCAGTCTCAAATAAATTCTCAGACTGTTCTAAACTCTGATGTTTTATAAACAGATTACAGCTGCAGACCCACCTGGGAATCTCCCTCTAATGCAGCTTGTGCATACATCCGCATTGAGAGCTCAAGGTCTTTAGAGTGGTTCTGGTAACCATAGTAGTAGAAATCACCCATCTTCAAATAAGCTGTGGAAGAAGCCAGTGGCAGATCATTTAGAGTATTTGTAGAGACAGAATCAACTAACTATTAACGTCATGGAGAAGTTACTAGTAATTATACTTAAAGCACCACATAAAAAAAAAAAGGATACTTCTTCTCTCTGGTTGTCTCTGTGGCTACTTTACAACAGCCTGCCCAGTGAAAATATTTATCCTGAATGAAATTTATCATGGTTAATTAATTTAGTGCATGATATTGCTACTTTTACAAAAATTGAGACTTATACTGTGTTCCTTCTTCACTTGCTGAATCTGTCCTTGGATAACCTGTAGCCTTAACATTCAGGTTATCCCTACTAACTTAATGAGACTTAGAGATATGCTAAGTGTTTGTTCTGTACCTGTCACTATACCTGGCTGAACTCATCCCAAAAGTCACAGAACTTTGCTGACGATAGTTTCATTAGTTTAAAGTCCAACCCAATCCAGGACAATAGTAGGTATAGAATTTTCCTTGTCTAGAAGGAAGCAATGCCCAGCAAATATTTTCCAAATATCTTTCTGTGTTATTGCACAGTAATGTGCATCAACAGAGTGGGCACTGACCCTGTCAGGAGCAAGCATGACATTGGACTAATCTATGCTGAAGATCTGAAAAGCTCCCAAGACTGTGTCTGCACTTACCTGACCTAAGCTCTCCCCAGATGGTTTGAAATACTTCTACACGTTGCCTTGTGTGTCTAGAGCAGCTGCCAAGAAATCCTGACTGGTTTTAGAGTGGACTAGCTCTTCCAGGAAGCAAGTTGGTAACTACCCCAACAGCAAAGGGAGAAAGACTACAAGGACAGGATGGCACAGACGCCGAGTGGCAGTCCATGAACAACCTAGTGAATCCTCAATTAAAGAGTTCCCCTCAACCATACCAACTGCTTCATTCCAGCCCTGGCCTGGGGAGCACTCCCACCGTCGGCAGTAGCCTTGAGGTCACTGCCTTGCACTGATAATGTAGCCCTAGAAATCCCTGCTGCCAGGGTTAGACTCTGTCCCAGGCCCTACACTGGGGATTTGATCCTCCACTACTGCAGAGAGGGGGGCGAGATAAAACTCCCCTTATGCTACTTGTGTGAGGAAGAGATGAAATAATAAAATCCTTCCTCTGTTGAACCCAGCAAGTCTCCTCTCCTTTACTGAATGGAATTGCAGTCTCGTCTCATGAGTCTGACCTTCAGAAGCTTCTGTAATGTAAGATTGTACCGGTGCATCTGCCAAAGAGTCAACCAAACTGCACCTTTCTAGGGCATCTACAAACTCCTCACAAAAGCTAACAGTTTGTCAGCTCCTGTGGCTTCAGGCTGTATCAATGTGGCATTCAGTTTCCACGCTGCTCTGTATTTAAATGAGTAGCTTGAATTACTTTTACACTCCACTTTTCCATGTGCTTATTACAAAGCACTTAAAAGCTTCCTATGAGACAATCAGATCAATGTTTTCAATTATTGAATAAATCTTTCAAAGGCACCAAATGGACAGTCACTGAAGTCTCAGATGGGAGTAAAATCTAAGGCCAGAGAAACGTACCCTATATGTAAAATAACCCCTTTTTTTTTTTTTTTTTTTTTTTTTTTTTTTTTTTAGTTTCTTAACAGACAATCTTTTAGTTCCCCAAGGTAAGCTGTGCCAACGTTGACAAACTTCATTATTTTCTCATGACTCAATTAGGATATTGAAATATATTTGCTTTTGGATTTTCTCTTTGATAAACTGAACAGCACGAGTTCCTAAAGTCTACTGTTATTTTTTTCCTTAAACCTTGAGTCAATTGCTCAGGGTCCTAAATATCTAGGCCCTTCTCAGGGCTCAGCTTTTTTATTTTACTTTATTCATTTTATGCCATAAAAAGGAAATTCTCAGAAAAGCTGTGCTGAAACACACCACTTAAAATACCTTTATTCCGCCCTTGTTTTTCTATCAAAACACTAAAAAGGAAATGTATGATAAGCAGGGATTATTCCTCCCTCACCTTGCTCACTCATGCAGAATTTGTAACAAATACAGCTTTTGAAATGTAAAAAAAGGTAAAATTGAAATTCAGGAAGAATTCCTTATACATACCAAATGATGGTGCACTGACTTGAGAAACAGAGAAATTGTAGTATCTCCAAACACAATCAGTTGCTAAGTATTTCCTTGCTAGGTCCTGGAAAGAAAGAAGCGATCCATTCATATCACAGGTAAGAGATTAGGATGCCATTATTAAAAAGCATTCCTTTTAGGATCTTGAGTTGTGAATACATTTACTTACTGGTCTTTCTTCACAGATGTGTGCTAAATTTGACTGTGACACTTCAATCCCAGTTTCAGCTGCTAAAACGTAATGCAGCAAAGCTTCATGCCTAATGTTAGATAAAATAAATTAGTGAAAAACCTTACATAAATAATATGCATTTTAGTTACAGTTAAAAACCCACTAAATAAATGGATACAATCACCTTGGAGCAAAATTTTGGTACAAGGTTTTAAAGTCAGAGGCTAGCAAGCCCATACAACAGCTACATCTAATGGCAGAGCTTGGTGTAACAATCCACGGTGGATCTCAGGAATTTGCAGATTTCTCCCTGTTCCATTGAAGCTAAATCGGCTCCAGTGTGGATTTACTCTAAGTGCAAGACTGATGATGAATTGTTATCAAGCCAAATAATATGTTTAAATGTTTCAGCTAAAACGTTCTTAAACGACTCCAACCTCCTCCACTTAAAAGTTTTCTAATTAACTTAGCTGTGTATGTATCTGTCAAACATTCATCTGGGTACTGCTTTGGTATGCTTTATCCTTCTATTTCTATGACTTGTCTTTTCAGACTATGAGCTCTTTGGAACAGGAATTGTCTCTCATTATATCTGAATGTGTGAATAAAAGAACAGACTCAGACCCCCTATGGACTCTAGGCACTTCACTGACTGTAAAGCAAGTAATAAATGCCAAATCTGTGTTTGCAGTATAATAATTCAGTATTGCAGTACAGTGGTACAACTATGTCCATGATTCTAGAGAAGAACATCTCTTTCATGTTCTCAGTCACTCATCTACTCAGTATTATGAACACTAAGAATTCAAAATTAAGAGAAAGTCTTTAAAATCACGTTTGGTTTTAAAATTACATGAGAAGAAAAACACTTGCTGTACTTTTTTCCTACTAAATCTTCCTAATGAAGGATCAAGCTTCCAGTGGTTTTGTCCACATCACAAAGCTGAAAGTATGGCAAGATTCAGGGTTCAATAGTTTGTTTAACTGGAAGAAAACACACTTAAGTGTGCATTTGACTTCAAGAGTAGGTGCTTAAGCAAAGAAACTTTAAATGAAATTGTGAAAGCAGCTGTCCTTACAGAATGAGCAGGTGTAATCTCCTGTTTCCTAACTGTTCCTGCAAGATTATAAATTCTTCTTGTACTTGTCCTGTAAAAACATCTAGGACAATGAACACCTGACACCACAGAAGGAATTCAGGATACCTAAAGTGGGGAGTCAGTTCTTCTTATCCTCAAGTCTCAAAGGGCAATTCAGAAAAGAAACTACATTTAATTAATTTAAATCAATTTCTGAAGACCAAACTACCATGACTAACATGAGTAAAATACGAGGCTGCTAACACCAGTGACTGAGGAATGTGTATCACTTGGCTTGCTTGGCAGTTTAACAACTTACTATGTGCAAGAAATACTCAGAAGTAAAGACTTCAACATGAACATACTCCTAAAACCAGAGTATTTGTAAGCAACTACCCACACAATCCCAGTCACTGGCACCTCCACTGGGACTCCAGCAGATTTTTCCTCCTAGCTGTTGAGACCAGATCTTCTGGGATGTTAATATCATGTTCACAGGACTTCCACGTGTGGGTAGAGTGACAGACTTCTACAAAAATGCTAACTGAGAGTTTTTCAGTGTTGAAAAAGTGAAATCGTGTCTCAGGAGAAATGTCTGTGGTGGACTAAATAAAGGGAAGCTTCTTCTAGGAATGGGTTACTCCAGAACAGTCACACTGACAGTTTTTTGAGGATGTCCTAAGCCTGAAGTACTAATTAAATACTAACAGGGGGAGGCTTGAAGTGCTGGGGTTAAATCCCCAGCCCTGAATGAGGGTTAGCATATGGATGATGTCCACAACCAGGTAAGAAAGATCCTCCTGATTGCTTTTCACCCAGGGTCTGGCCAGCCTTGGGTGGGAACCAATTAGGACAATCACCACTAGGTGCCCCCACCTTCCAGATTAACTTGGAGGTGGGGCAAGAAGCCACCTCTGTAAGAGCTGACTGTGCTTGCAGGTTGGGAGGCTTGTTTGTACAGTGGATGTGGGAATTCTAGTTCTTGAAAGGGCTCCCTGACTCTTCACAGTAAGTAGAGTTCTCGGTAACCATGCAGTAAGATTGAGATGGGAAAGGAATTATGGGGCTTTCTCCTGGCAGTTACTATATGATTTAGATTGGGCTGATTGCCTGGGTCCTTCCGTCCCCCATGGCTTGGTTTTGGAACTGACTTGCTTCCTTCTTTGCTGTGTTATGTGTTGTGAGTGAATACATCGGTCTATTCACGCCTCTGGTGGTGGGCCACCTTGGGTCTCTTGCATATGATCTAAGACCAGAGGGAGGGATCTGGCTCATGTGTTGCCCATTAATGATAATATCCTCTTGTTTGGCTCCCTAGATATTGTAGCCTCCTATTATACCTTACAGAAATGACAGTATTAACCATATGCACAAAAAGACCAAATCTAATCAATCAGTCTGAGTTTTCATGACATGGAATTATATACAAGAGAGAAAGCAAGGTATGTTTATTTTTAACAGAGGGAATATTAAAAGTGACAGGTGTTCTTCTGGCTAACCCAGTGCGCATTACATGCTATGGGATGAAAATCACAGAGAGCAGATACAACCTTACTTCATTCTAAAAACTCCTTTTTTTAATTGATTCTGTCAGAACTGTTGAATTATGCTTTGAGTCAAATCCTGCTTTATGCCAACAGGTGTTTTGCTACCAATTTCAGCGATGCTGCTATTTGTGGTTTTTTTTTTTTTGAGGTGATGGCCCAGTGTTAATCATGTTATGCCATAAAGTAAGTGAAAAAATAGAAAAAGAACAGCACCAACATACCATGAAAGTTCCAGATAAGCATTGAGAGCTTTTCTGATGACATGACCTAAGTAGCCGTTCTTCTCTGCAACGTGTTTTGCCCAGCTGTAGAAAAGAACAACCAATAAGAACTGAACAGCTGTGCAGGAATGTTATCCCAACTCACACCGACTCAAAGGACACAAAAGGATATAGGACCGCCTTCTAACTTCTTCCACAAGACAAAACTGTGGGATTTCACAGTAACTGGTGCATCAGCCTCATGACTGTTGACTGAACGAGAACGTTTTCTCCATTCCTTGCCACTAACAACACCCTGTGATTTTTTCCTTGGCAAAACTACTTTTTTCTTTTTTTTTTAAGAAAACAAATATAAAATAAATATAAGTGCTACAACTAATTATTTGCCTTTTTTTAGATGCAAAACACCAGTTCTACCACATGAGGAGCCTACTATTTCTTGAACATCAAATAAGCATAGCTTTGTTAGATACAATCTCTCAGAGTTGTTTGATACAATCTCTCTGAGCTGTTCTGGGAAAAAAGAACACTAGAAGTACTCATCATCCCTCCAAATCTACCGGTCATTTAAACAACACATATTCATGAGGATCAAATGTTACTGCAGAAGAACCTTTTGATGAGGAGGTAGAATCCTAGAATGGTTTTGGTTGGGAGGGATTTTTAAAGGTCATCTAGTCCAACCCCATTGTAGTGAGCAGGGACATCTTCACTTAGATCAGGTTGCTCAGAGCCCCATCCAACCTGACCTTGAATGCTGCTGGGGATGGAGCGTCTACCACATCCCTGGGAAACACATTCAAGTGTTTGACCACCCTCATCATAAAAAATTTCTTCCTTGTATCTAGTCTAAATCTGCCTCATTGAGTTTAAAACCATTACCCCTTGTCCTGTCACAACAGCCCCTGCTAAGAATATTGTCCTCATCTTTCTTATAGGCTCCTTTAAATACTGAAAGGCCACAATAAGGTCTCCTCAGAGCCTTTTCTTCTCCAGGCTGAACAACCCAAATTCTTTCAGCCTTTTGTCATAGAAGAGGTGTTCCAGCCCTCTGATCACTTTTGTGGCCCCACTCTGGACCTGCTCCAACAGGTCTCTTCTGTGCTGAGGACTCCAGAGCTGGACACAGTACTCCACGTGAGGTCTCACCAGAGTGACGTATAGCAGCACAATCAGCTCCCTCGACCTGCTGGCCATACTTCTTTTGATGCAGCCCAGGATACAGTTGGCCTTCCAGCTCATATCTAGATTTTCATCCACCAGTACCCCCAAGTCCTTCTCCTCAGGGCTGCTCTGAATCCCTTCATCCCCCAGCCTGTACTGATATCAGGGAGTTGCCCTGACCCAGGTGCAGGACCTTGCACTTGGCCTTGCTGAACCTCCTGAGGTTCACACAGGCCCACTTCTGAAGCTTGTCCAGGTCCCTCTGGACGGCATCCAGATGCCATGTCTAGGTCCCTGTGGATAGCATCCTGCTAAGTACCATAAAGCACAAATACTTAGACTGTGGACTTAAAAATCACTAATAATCAAAATAATTCCACCAGAAACACATTCTCCTTTAACAAATGGTTTCACTCCTTACATTACAGCTTTTTCTGGATCTCTGGGGAAGTCTTCCATATTTCCTGTGATGTAGTACAGAGAGCATCGTAAAGTCCCTTCTATGTGTCCTCCTTGGGCAGCCTTATAGAAGTAGCGTGCAGCAACTGTCTGTGAGAAACAAGACACAATTAGCAATTTGGCATTATTGTTTATGGAGTTGTTTCCTGGGACTCACTTCAGTAAATTAATTCAAAGAAGCAATTGGCTAATGAGGACAAGCTGGTTTAACTACTTCTAGTGTATCATGTGAAATGAATTCCTTTCTTCTAATTTTTTAATAGTTTAGGCTGGAAAAAGGTTTTTTAAAAACATAAATTCCTGTAATATATGGAATGTCAAACAGAAAAGTGTCTAGATGTGTGATTAACATCTGGTAGCACACAAGTCTTGTGTGCATGGACAAAGAAACGAGTCATCCACTAGGAGGGAGATTACTGATGGATCCTGGAGGAGGGACACAGCACAGGACTTTTGTCCTGGCGATGCCTAAGTGGAGGCTGGGGAGCAGCAGTGCTCAGCACGTCCAGCCCTGCACAACCACAGGGCTCAAGCCTCTAGAACTGGTTTATACAAGGTAACACAGGCAGGGCCAGAGCTGCAGAAGCAGGAGGCTCTCCATGTGTTACCCTCAGAAACAGGGATCCGTATTGTGTAAACCAAAGCAGAGTACAGCCTGAAATAATAGATTTCAGGAAATTTTTAACTACATATATGTTTTCTCTGAGCATGGACTTCAGAGTATCCATCACAACCATAGCAAAGTGCTTCTGCTTGCCCATGGTTTTGGTGAATAAATAAACCTGGGCACTTTTAGGGGTGTATTCATACAATCAGTCCACTCCGAAATGTGTATTTTGGTCCCCAGGGAAGGAAAATGTGTTTGCCAAATGCACATGCTGGGGAGTACTGCTGTTGTTGGCAGCAGAAATGCTCACTGTCTCGAGTATATCCAGATCTCACAACTCACAGGCCACACTGGAAACATCTTTTAGCTCCAAGTACAACTCCTGCTTGCATTTACGATGGCCTGCCTCACTGTGTTTGTGCTGTTGGTTGTAAACTACACAGCTAACTAAAAGAAATATAACCAAAGTAGATTGTACCTCTTAGAGAAAAGTTAATTTTGCACATGTCAACGAGGCAAGTTAAAAAATGGTCTGTGTCACAGAAAGACAAACCAAAATACTACAGTCTACCACGACTGTATTAAATGGCTACATTTGCAAGTCTGCCTTGAAGGTCTCTCCCTGCATTTCTGAGGATTACAGAAGCTGGGTGAATGTAGCATAGCTGTTCACAAGTTCAGGGACAAGGTTCTGCTGCTTTCATTTATTGTGGAAAGTATCCTTTCACTACACGCTTTCCAATCTAGAACTGAGAGAAACCAAAAGGATTACACGATGTGAGAACACACACTATCCTGGCTGCTGTCACTGGGAGGATAGTCCCTGGAGCTAAACGTGCACCTGCTTTGTTTCTAAATTAAAGGAACACAAACACACAGAAGTATGACTGAGATACTTATGTAACCTCTCTAAGCAATCTGACTGAATTCCCCAGTAACACCCTTCTTTGTGATAAAAGGTATCAAAACCCCATTCAGATTGAACACAGCAGTCCCAAGATTGAAGCAAAAACTTCTGAACTGGGCCCTAATGTAAGAAATAGTACTATTAAACATTTACTCACTTGATTTCTACCAGCTACTCCAGGGTAGATCCCATCTAAATAAAGGACTCCGAGGTTGTATGACGCATCTGGATTTCCCAATTCTTCAGCAATTAACCAGTGTTCAGCTGCTTTTCTGTAGTCTCTTTTAAAATTGTGGTAATACCATCCCAATCCATTCACTGCCTGGGGCAAGCCCTTAGGGAAAAAGAGCAGTCTCAGGTCACACATTTCTTTCTGCTTTGGGTCACTTTGCAATACCAACCTGCTTAGAGTGCTCCTGTGACCTTGCCTAAATTCTAAATATCTGGCATAAGGATCCAGCTGAATTATACTGATCTGGGACTAAGGGATAGAAAGCTTTGCTGGCTTTTTCTTCACACTACTCTTCCTTGTGGCCTCATACGGAGAGCAAGAAATAAGACTCCAGCATTGACTTGTTCTATAGAGTCTCAGCTGTGTCTGCACTCAGATTGGTACCTGCTGACAAAAACAAACTGACCATTTTTCACCTGTTTTGTCTGCAAAGCCAAAATGGGGCACTTATTCTTGCGAACTCCCAGAACTTGGCTGACAGGATTAGCAATCAAAACTTCACTTCTTTTAAAGTAGAACATTTCCCTAATTAAAAATATGAAGCAATGAACATTGACCTTTGCGATGCTGTTTTTAAAATGTACTTGACAAACATCATACAGATCTGGTTAAGACAGTGCTACCAAGTGAATGTTTACATCAGTAATTATGGATCAAGAGGAGAAATCTTCCTGGGACAGTTTTTATTTTAGTTGCAATGAGTCACTGTCTCCTTGCATAAACTGGTGGATCATATGGTGGTTGTAAATATGCCAGCAGTTCAAATTACTCTGTACTAATAAATGTGAACATACTATTTACTCCTGGTTTATAATGTATGCTTAATAGCAACCATGCCAAAACAGAGACATAAGGCAAAAAATACCTTAAAAAAATCTCAGAGCACAAATACAAGTTATTTGCTTGCTACTGTTGACTTCTACACCAGTCTTCTGTAATTTCTGTATAAAGAGCCACATGCTACTGGACTTACAAAGGCCCTCTAGAAAGATTTCCTTTGCCTTTCAGGTTTAAACAGTGTTACTAACTTATCCATTAAAATGCAAAAGCAATTCAATTTTTCAATACCTATGGTGGTGTTTCTAGAAAATGCACATCAGAGCTTAAAAACTAAGTATTGGGGTTCAAGGAGAGTCAGGAAATTGTATCCGGGATGCTTCCTGAAATCTGCTCCTCAGATCCTGAGTCATGAGAATTTTGATGACACAGTGAAAGCCACTCAGTTTATTCAAGCCTTTCCCAACCAGGCAGTAGAACAGGTGGTCTCTCCTGTTTCAGAGGAATGACAGAACCAGCACAACTCTATACTGATGGTGGTCAGCAGTGAAGTCCTATTGTCATTACTGCTAATTTAACTATTTCTGCTTCTAGAGCTAGGAAGGTATTCAAGGTCTAGGTACTCTTGTATTTTTATGCTAAGGACCAGGTCCTGGCCTGGGTAATCTGACTCTACTAGGTCGTTATATGGAGTGAGGGTCCTCCTCTCTGTGGTGCCTGTCAACATTTCCCCCTATTACGGAAAAAAAAAAGACGGATTTGTAACATCCAGGTCTTCTCCCTGAAGTAGAGAAGAGCTGCCCAGAGCCAGTGCATACGGTCTTTTTCCAGTCACTAGCATCCCCTGGAAGAGTTCTAACTCTAAGCAGAGAGAACTAACCATAAACCACCCCAGCTCTGGTGTGGGGCAGGAAGCCACCATTCTTCTGCATTTGGCTCTTGTGGTGCAGAAATGCAGTCACTCAGTGCAGACGGTGAAAGTATAACCCCAACCACAGTTTTTACTCTTCTTCGTTCACATTACAACTTAATTAAGATGCTCTGTTACTATAGCAAAGCCTGCTGGCATGGATTTTCAACAACAACAGTTATCTCTGCTTGACTCTGGAGAGATCACCATGACAAAAGCTCAAGCCTGGCAGGCACACCTATGAAAAACATACCTTGTATAGTCTAGGAGAAAATGCTTACAAGCATGAGGCAAAAACATACTTCTGGATCAAGTCACTTAACTATCATCAAGTTCCAAAAGATGCAAGTAGAGAGAAATCTTTTTCTTCCATAGAAACTGTAGTTGATTTTGTGTGGTCTTTTCAATTTGGGAAAATAAGGCTTTAACCATTCATGGTGAACACACTAGGAGAAGCAACCAGTATTTACCCAGATTTACAGTAATAGGTATTTTATATAAATCAGAGTTCATTATTATTAGCACTTGGTATAGAACTTTTACAAGAAACTATTTATCACATCTCACCTTGGCTGCTGCTTTCTTCATCAGTTCCAAAGCAAGTTTTGTATTCTTCTTCACACCTTGGCCCTAGGAAATGGATATGTGAAACAACCATTGTTTACAAATACAGGTAGATGAAAATTCACATATACACATTCAAAATGCCTTTTAGCATTGATACTATTATTTACTAGGTGTTATTTGGCTTTAAACAGCTACAACAAAGCAAGCAGCCCTGTGCTCATCCTCCTTTCACAGCTTTACAAAATCTGAATGATTCAGTCTAGGAAAAATTATGTCACCAGTCAACTCAAGTGATTTTGACAGGTAAATAACATCACAAATCTTTTAATTTTGGGCAAGTAAGGCTGAATAGCATTCAAAGGTGCATAGATTTGGCAATGAGTTAAGAGCTCTGAGCTTTCCTGGAAAAGGATGTCAGAGTGTCTCTAGAGGAAGTACACAGATCTCATACTGACAATGTTCATATAAATTAATTCCAGACACAGGTCAAACACACTATGGATGCTCAAAACTAACAGAAGCAAAACTGAAGCAAGCATTTTGTAGGGAACAGCCCTCCAGTGTCAAAGGAGTGAGATGAAGACCTAACTGTTCTTCACTAATATTGTTATTGCTACAGAGTAAATCTGAAAGCACTGCAGTGTGTCACTGCAGATAACTTACAAATGTCCACACCATAGGAATGATTTTTTTGAAGTGAAAATATGAAACATGACTTACCTTAAATAACACAATGGCATAATCATATATTAACACTGGATCTTCTGTTTCTATTGCACCCTTTGCATACCATTCTATTGCAGCTTCAGGATTTTTTGCTACTCCTTGTTGGCCCCAAAACAGCATCTGAGCCAATCGTTGCTAAAAGGAAACAACACAAGCACTACTGTTATAAACGCTAGTATTGAAACTGGAGTTGTAGGAGCATACTTTTGCAGGCTTAAATGGATTTTAAATATGTGAAGAAACTAGTTACACGTCCTCAACAGTTTGAAAACAATTTGTTATCATGAATATTCAGAGGGCTTCCCAGTGGTGAATCGTACTGATATTAAGTCTACAGCAGATTCATTTTTAACAGCTGTCAGTACCACAGAAGTGTGGCTTCATTTAAGTGCAGAGGTAAGTGATAAAGGCAGGCCTGATGCACGCAAATGGGCCAGTGTTACAACATATTGCTGCTGGTCTCAGATCAGCAGCAATAATGGCACTGTGCCAAATGCAAACCCAGGGAAAATGATCAGAGAAGGAGGTTGTTAAGTCTTGACAGCACTTCCCTCATTGTGTCATCGTTATAGCTTTTTGCATGCTCTCCGGATATTATCAGACAGAAACATGGGACATAGATCAAGATCATAAAAAAGAAGCAATTCTGGGTGGAAAGGTAAAACATCTGTCTGCTTCACCGTCCTCCACAACTTTCCTATATAGCCCATAGATGTACCTATGTGATATGCATATAAAACCAAGAAAGGGGAAATGTATTACTTTATACCTGTGCAGCTGCATTTCCTCTTGTTGCTTCATGTTTTAGCCACATAAAGACATCACCATTTTCTTTTGTTTGGGCTTTTAGCAGTTCATCATCCATCAGCCTTATAGTTTCAACAAATGCCTGAAGAGCAGATGAACAGGAAAAAAAACATTACACAATGAATTCATACATCTGCCACCAAAACGAAAATGTTGCCCATTTTCTATTTATCCCTAAAAATTCATGATTAGTTCTGGGTTTTAAAATTCTCACCACCCCTTTGCTGGCCAGTGCATTAAGAACCATCCTTACATCTACTGTAAAAGCCATCTACAGCTTTGTTACAGTACAAAACTGTAAGTCCACTCTACATTGGAAAAGATGTGCTAAGATGTCAACAGCTGAAAAAAACCCACCATCTTTGTAGTTTTAAAAGCACTTAATAATGGCAAAGGAGTGCTTTCAAGTCTTTTAAGGATTTTTAACTCCTATAGAAATCTCTCTCAAAAGATTAAAATAAAAGGCTGGCAGAAAGTTTGAAGACCTGTCCCACAGCACTCTTATCTAGGTGGCTGTCTGCTGATTTTTAGTTCTTCAGCAATCAAAATACCTCTATTTTTTGTACAACCGTTGTTCTTTCTGACAAGCCAGGATCCTAGTACTGGCCTACCTTTAGTATTCTTTACAGATAAAGTCATGTTACCTCCTGTTTAATGACTAAAATCATTTTACTGTAACTGTGTCTCATCAAATAGCTATTTAACAGCCAAACCTTCACCTTGGATTATAGAAAAGGTTTAAGTATTAAGAGAACAATTCATCTTTTGTGTGAACTTTGTGATGTTTGGCTACTGAAAGAGCAGATCAGTTGCTTAATGGACACTTTCAATTATATCAGCAATCAAAAAACTGAGTGAGGAATTAGGGCCCAAGAATAACACTTACACCTTAACTGAAAGGCAGACATATGGACAATTCTGAGGATTTGAGACTAACTTCGATTTGGTTCCCCTCTTGCTAAGAAATGGGGCAGTGATATGTACAAATAATTTGGAGAACTGTGTAACAATCACAGAATCACAGAATGATTTGGGTTGGAAGGGACTTCCACAGATCATTTAGTCCAACATCCCTGCCATGGGCAGGGACATCAATCAGATGAGCTAATATTTGTAAATCCAGACAAAAATGTTTAGGCCACCTAATTAATATTAATATATGTATAGTCATTTACACAGAAAACAAATTCAGATGAACTTGTAACTTTTTTACCTGTTCCCCTTTTATAGTGTGTTGATCCAATGATGTCTTTATTGCAATATTACTGTAATAAGCATATGACAGCTCCAAATCAAGTGGATAATTATTAATGCCTTGGTAATGTTTATAGCCAAGATTCATCGCAGCAAGTCTCTCGTTTCCCTGAGCACCAACCAAACTGTACAGCAGTCCCTGGCAAAAATCAACAGACATAAACAAGAGTAAATTCACTGCACATCTCACACGTTTAGCACTTTGGTGGAGATTTACAGGGAAAAGAGTGTTCATACGGGTAGCTGATATACTAGCTATACCCTATATAACCACAGTTACAGAATCAAGCACAGCCCTAAAGTAGTTAAAATGTCTTCTATATGTATAGAAAGATTTTAAAGAAAAACTAGACTCTCTAAAATACTTTTCAAGCACTGCACTTATTCTGCCACCATTAAGTATACAGCGTTCTTTTAATGCCATTTTATTATAGTGTTAATTATACTCTGACACTTTTTATACTCGGCAGTGGCTAAACTAGTCTCACTCATGTCAACTGGAGTTTTCACACTGAATTAAAGGGAAACATATGGAAGGTAACAAGCTGCACTTGAAAATCTTACCCTAAGGATCTGACAGGACTAGAAGGATGGGACTTGTGGCTGACAAGGTTTCAGCACAAAGCTCCCTTGAGGTACAAATTAATTGGTGCTAGAAATAGTCGAGGTACTGCACATTTGCCAAAACCATTTCCAGCACTACTATTATTTTTCATCCACACAGTAATAAAAACAGTGGTGTCCCATCTGTGCTGGATATTAAATGATTTCCTACACTATCTGAGGTGAATCCAATAAAGAAATTACTGGGCCTCCGTAATTAGCACTAGGTATACTCCATAATTAGGGTATAAAAAAGGATCCTGTCTAAGGTATGTTGTGTTTGATAAACCAGAGTGAGTTTGGTCTCAGACTGGCCTCTCAGGGGTTCTTCTGATTTATCATCTTGTAACCACATCAGGCAGATCTGCTATTCTTTATGAGCATTTTATATTACACTGTTATGTCACAATTAAATCTCTGTTGGCAATTTCAGCATAGCCCTCTGCCAGTGACATATAAATCACTTATTTCACTTCCTCTTTATTTCACCTTGCAACAGAATCACACAAAAATATTTCAGTTACTTCCAACTTGCCTAAAAGGTCAGGAGCTCACATGCATGGCAGTTGCTCAGCTGAAGCATGGTCAGTTTATTTCCAAAAGAAAACTGTTCTGCTTTGTTTACCTGCAATCCACTGACCATAATATGTTCAGTGACACATTTATGCATACTGTAAAACAGTTCTTCTTATCTGACTATAGTATGCAACCTTTCCCCTTCAGAAATTTGCCTGATCAGAGACTTTTTTCACAGCTATCTACAAATGACTGTGAGTGACTCGAGGGTTATTACCTCACCCTACCTCCTCAGCGACTGGGAAAAGCAGTATGTTCCATGTTGTTCCCCTTACCATCATTTTTAGTTCTTAATCATTATTGCCTTGTTCTGGATGAGCAGACTCTCACCATCAGGACTTCATAGAGACTTCACTGCCATTGAGCTGTTTGGGGAATCCCTTCAACCACAGCCCAGATATCGAGGCCATTTCACATTTTTTATTCAACTGATCATAAATTCATCCCATCTCTAAACTGCCTTTAAAGGTAATTAATTTCATAATTTGGTAATAATAACCAAACATACTAAATATATTACCTTTGTACGATCCAAAGACACACCAAGCCCTGTTTCAAATATAACTGCAAGGAAATAGGAAGCCTTATGGTATCCACAACAACTGGAATCCACCAAGAGAGGGACAAAGTAGCCCATATTGCTGAGGCCATCAGCGCTGGACAGACCCTTTGCAACCTTCTCAAATATCCTCTGGCCAACTTCTAGAACTGCATCACTTCCATCTTCTAACACTAAGAACAAAACACAGGACACACAGTTATTGCAAGAGTTAAAATCAGGAACAGATTTACCCTCCTTACTTCAATGGGATTGAGACAGACTCTGTTATTACTCATACTGAGTGATATTCTCAATGCAGACAACCAAAATTCCTAGAGATACAAGGTACTATTGAATAGGAAAGGTGAATAAAAATCCAGAAAACTGTCTCAAAGTAACTAATCACTAAAAATTAAGTGTATCTTGATTTCCTTCTACATAATATTCCATCCCCCATTTGCAGCAAAACATATAAGCCACATGTCACTCCTTTATTAAGTTAGCTGATATAAAACAAAAAAAGTATAAAACATGAACTGAAGTCAAAGCATACTAACTCACATGACATATATTGTGGAGTTATTCAAGAACAGTGAAATAAAATACCATTACCATCTGAAACACTGAAATCCATCTCTTGTAACAGTTTGAACAAAGTGTGGTACTTCTCCTTGAGCTCTTTTCCCCACGTGAAGGCATCACATTTGGATTTTTCTCCATATTTGTGCATCAGCTCCAAATAATAGTTTTCATAGTAACCTAGAGAAAACAGCATAATTAAGACATGAAAACTGATTTGGCTGGTCTTCAAAAATAGTTTCTGGTAGAAAAGAAAGATGTTTCTAGGGTAAACCAAAAATTCATGAACAAGGTAAGCACACCCTTAACAAAAAGTAGTGCTAAAAACTTATACAGCCAGCACAGGCCACTTACAAATACATGAGATTTCTTCTACTTTCTTCCATACCCTGGTAACAATACATGTGGTTGAATTCTTATTGGAACATAAGCTATTTTTCAGCACACATTTAAGGTACATTACTCTTCTTTCACCAAAGTGGTTGCTTTGGTATAAACCTGTTGCCTACTGCACTTTAGGCAACAGTGACAGAAACATACTAAAGAAAAAAACACCCATTTTGGGGAAAGGGCTTAACATACATATGCCTTCAGGGTCATTTGGGTATGAAATAGAAGAAAGGCAACTGAACAGTTCACATGTAAGCTTGCAAACGTCTCTTTGTCCCTTTATGCACCTGTCTTATTAGAGAATAAATATCAAGAACGTGATATTAAGTTTGTGTACCATGGCACAAAAGTCTTTGCAGGGACAAACCCACAATTTTAGCTACCTGTAAGAAGGCTAAACTCTTCAAATTGCCTTTATTCTTGTTATGGCTGAATTGAAGTTTACTTTTGATGACTGTTATCCAGATTCTGGTAAGAGGAAAGAAAACAGGTCTCCAGAGATGACAGTTTAAAATTCATATCTCACAGATCAACACTTACAATTTCTTTGCACTTTTTCGCCTTGCCTTACAATATATCTGTACTCATAAACTAGTTCTTGAATGTCCATACATCTCTCATAGTAGAGTTCAATTTGTTCCATTGTTTCTTTGTCATGAAGAGGGTTAGAAATCTATAAAAGGCAAATGATGGATAAATGGCATCTACAGTATCTCTTGCTGTCCACGCTTGGTTATAAGAAATGTTGTAGGCAACTAACAAAATCCCAGATTATTTAGTACAGTCAGCTTATCTGGTACGTCATGTTAATGTTCCAGACAACCTGATGCTGGCCACAAGAGACTGTGACTTTAAACAGTCAGTATAATCCAAGAAACCATGAATGAACTTCCAAAATTGACCAAGTCTATGTGACTTTTACCACCAATCTCAACAAACCCATAAATTGACAAAATGTGTTCAATACTGTACCATCAAAAACTCTGGGAATCAAAGCAATACTGAAAATAAGTCCATAGTAAATTATAGATTTAGGAACATTGCTTTACATAGTCACTTCTAGAATTCTGTTTTATCTCTTAGCATTTGAAGTGGTAACTATCATTCCTAGATTTCAAGAGGATAAGACCATATTTTGTTTCTATATTCCCAAGTACTATTATGCTTCATAGTAAGTTTATCATTTGGTAAGAGCTTCAGTTAAAAAAACCCAACCCATACATTCATATCTAGCTGCTAATACTTAAGCACTTCCAAATACTGCTTTTGTTTACCTGTTCTGTTTCCAGCACCTTGAGACGATAATATTTCACAGGTCCAAAGAATCCTTCAATACCATTTACATACCCGCTGCCTCCAAGAACAAAGTATCCAGCAGTGTCATCATAATAAAAATCTTCCCTAAAACTTGACGACATGAAAGAGAAGTTGGTTACCATGAGGTATTATGAAAGAAAAAAAAAAGAAATTTGTATCTCAGAATTTCTGTAATTGACAGCCTTAAATTCACTACCAGTATCTTTTTCTTTTCTCATCTGTTGAATCTCAAAATCTACTCTGCAACTTAGTGTGATAAATTCTAGAGTGAATTTAACAAATCCCTTGTCTACAAACATATTAAACCAGCAGGGTGTTTATTTTTCTGACCTGTAGGTATCTTCTGGTGTTTTATGAATCACTACACAACCTCAAAGATTTCAGTTCCAGCTCTCCCATGCACTTTTCTAAAATTGCTGTATGAAAATTTAAGTTATCTGTCTCCTAGAGTTACTACCTGAAAATTTATGATTTCTGGTTTGTAAACCACAGCAGAGAAGGAACAAAATTGCAGTCTGCCATGCAATTTACTGTTACATAGTTTCCATATTCAAAGTTTGGTGTTCTTGTAAACAAGAAAGAGTCAATCTTAAATTACAGTGAAAGAGAACAATTAAAGATCCATTAAAAAAAAATATTCTGTTACTTAGAATAAATGATAGAGCAAGTATATTTTTGGTAGAAATCTTTCTCTCTGCCTAAGCAAAGCAGGCAACAGCTTCACTAGTGAAATTCTAGCTTTCACAGCAACAGCAAAATGTCCCTTGATTTAGGTAAGGCCAAGACTTCATTTGAAGACTGATCCTAATGCCACTAACCTTGCCATCAGCTTTTAGTAAGAGTTATCAGACTCTAGTACTAGGATCATATAGCATGTTAACTCAGCTAGCTCATGGCACTAACAAAACTATTCAACTCACGCTCAGTGTAAGCACACTAATGCAAACTGGTTTTGAAAGCATGGAGTGGAGAAAGACCACAGACATTTTGAAAGTCATCTGGAATCTCAGTTACAATCTTGTGCTCTCCTGCTCCCATTTTCCCTATCAGAAGACATACACATACATTACTCAACAAAGGGGAAAATGCTGCTTACTTAAAAGACTGATGATGATGTATTTTCAAATTCTTCCCAACACTGCTTGCTTCTATCTAAAAGAACACATAATGTTAATTATAATAAACAAAATATCACAAGGTACATTTATTAAGCCATTTCAATTCATAGTTCTAAAGATTACAGCTTCAGCTTGAGGCATCTCTTCTGCACTAGGGGATACTGTCATGTACCCAGTATGTGTCAGAAGAGTTTTCAGGGAAAGCATAAGCACTGGTCTGTCCTGGAGAAGCATGAGAGCGGAAAAATAGCAAAAGTAGCACAGATGTTGCCTACGTCAGCTATTTCACTCCTGTGTTCAGTTACAAGACATCAGTACTTTGCTGAAGCTTTTATTTGCCAAAGTGTGAAAGGCTGCTTGATTTCATATAGCAGAGATGCTAAACGAAGCAAATACCGATCTCAAGAACTTGTAGCTTACAGCTGGAGAGTAGTCACAAAGCTAATGTAGCAGGTCATGATTTTAAAAAATCTGGGTTCAGCTCCTACAGGAGATATACTTTCAGTGCATCAGAGACTTTCAGTGCCAGAATGGTTAAAGGAGTTCAGATGCCCAAGAAGACAAGGTAAGATTTTAACATGTTTGGTATTGTAAAAAATTGCCTTAGGACTCACAAAGCAACCCTGCAAAATTTTTAAGGATTCATCTGTACCTTCAGATGCTCTCAAAATCTGGCTCCTAGTTTCCCTTAATTTCCCAATCTTCCCTAATTTATATATTTTATCTTAGATAATGCTGGACTAAATGTATCTAATTAATGTAAGTGAAATAATCATAGAATCATTTAGATTGGAAAAGACCTTTAAGACCACTGAGTCCAACCACTAACCCAGCACTGCCAGGTCACCACTCAACCATGTCCCTCAGCACCACATCTACACGTCTTTTAAACACCTCCAGGGTGACTCAATCACTTCCCTGAGCAGCCTGTTCCAGTGCATAACTAGTCTTTCAGGGAAGAAATTTTTCCTAATATCCAACCCAATCCTCCCCTGGCACAACTTGAGGCAATTTCTTCTTGTCCTGTCACTTGCTGCTTGGAAGAACAGACTGACCCCCTGCTTCTACAACCTAGTTTCAGGTAGAGAGTGATAAGGTCTCCCCTGAGCCTCTTTTTCTCCAGGCTAAACAAGCCCAGCTCCCTCAGCCACTCCTCATAAGACTTGTTCTCCAGACCCTTCACAAAATTCATTACTCTTCTTTGGACACAAAGTGCCACTAAGAAGATTCCTCATTACCTTTTGAGGATCGTAGCATTTAAAACCTTACTACAGGAAGACACGTCAATAAGACAGAAATGAACCACAGCTTTATCTGTTCCAGAGAATGGCTCTAAGTAATGAAATGTTTAGAAGTTCAGTTCCACTTCCTCTTTTTTACCTTATTTTGTCCAGAAGTGAACATTTATTAAGCACATTTTTTATCTTACACTTGACAAATTCACTCTGCTCTCTGATGGAAGAATATTTTTGCTTAATCCAATCATATAAGAAATCCTCAAATTTCCATCAAGTCAAGACTAATACACCCTGTATCACTACTGACAGTAACTCTCATGCTTGCAGCTGAAGCTGAGCTTCAAGATCTATAGGGTCTTCCCTTTCCAATGGACTTAAACTATAACTACAATTTAAACAAGCAGAAAAAGACAGTTCTGATTCTATAAAATACTTTTTTCACTTTTCCTTTTAACAACATATTTAAAGCATATTATAATAAAAGTAAATACACATTTCTACCCAATTTTCTTGAAAGTCTGCTTACCACTTACTTATTTAAAAAAGGTGGCTTGCAAAAAGAACAGCAGTAATTTAGCCTGTACATTTCTCTCTCAGTACAGCATTGCTTCAGCCTTATCAGTCATTTACCTCATATTTGGAATTTGCTTAGTTGTTCTTGCTATTAATTAGCAATTATTTTTACAATTCAGAATGTAATCTATTAAATAATTTTCAAGGAGAAAAAAGTTTAGAAAGAGAAGACTAAGCACTTTGATTATTTTCATGCCCTAATATCTTAATAGCTGGAGGTTCAGACAAGAACTCAGGCAAGGAACCAGTGTTTTCCAAGCTGCTTTTGGAAGGTTTTGTGAAAAAACATTTGTGATTTGTGAAAATGAAAACTATGTATTTCATCTACTACAGAGCAATACTGCAATATTTTTTCAGATTTTTAATGGTAGTCAATTGTACGCCACTTTGCCAAATATGCAAACTTTAGAAACTGCACATGCCTCCTGTTAGATAATACATCTAGGCAAGAGCCATGCTGCTGTAGAGAAGCCCAGACACTTAAATTTCCATATCAGGATAGTAAAAAGGCCTAAGCCTCCAAGTCCAAAGCCCTTCACAGCTATTAACACCATATAACTTAAAAGTATCTTCATAAGGTATCTAAACCAAGAGTCCTGGTTGCCTGTACAGTCAATAAAATCTCTGGAGAGCAAGTGTTTGCTAAGATAGCCACTGAACACACAGTAATTCTAGGCTCCTAGCTCAACCATCTAAGCTGCTCTGAATATCTGAATAGTTTTAGATTTTTCATTCTTTTGCTCATGCATGTACGTAATTCTCTCAGCTATTAAGAGGTTTGTCAAAGGCATAATCAAATTAGACAAATCTCAGCCTTGATCCTGTAATTCAGCAGCAGGCATACCTGTCCACCCTTGAAAGAGAGATCCAGTCGAAACCACTGCCTCAGAGGAAGGCTGAAGCTAGTTTTCACTGCAAGGTCATCTCCTCTCATGAGGTGCACCTGTATATGCACATAACCTGACAGAGCAACAAACAGAGAAAAAGGAAATAAACACCACAGAAGTATCAACATTAAAAATGGGCTTCCTAATGTATTATTCACAGTGATTCTATCTACTTCATCTTCTTCACCACCAGAGATCTTGGCACTCATGAGGTAAACACTCCACATTTCAGTTACACATCTCAGATGCTAATGCCCAGACTCTCACGTGAAACCACGGACTCAAAACCAGCTGCTGGAAGGATAAACACACTAAACATAAGGCAAACAGGGAGGGTACCACAATTGATCTCAAGCATCAGAAAGCAGACATGGCTTGCAGCAAACAGCAGACAATGGTATCTACTCAACACTCAACCACTAGCACAGGAGAATGCAATGATCAAGCATGAAATGACTACCCTCCACTACTTGGACTTGCAGAAGCTGCACTTGTGGTCCGAGCTCCAACGAGCAGAAGAGGCTACTATGATACTCTAGTCTAACGCTGAGAATAAAACTGGCCCTAAAACCTCTTCAAGCAAATCTCTTGTCAAGGGGCTAACTCCCAGTAGAGTTGCCATTTGTTCTTCAAAGAAAAGCATCCAATTTAAAATGGACAGATTAATAATCTAGATTAATTAATCTAGACAGAAAAAGATGGAAATAGTAAGAATAATAGATAAGAAAAGATTGGTTGTGAAACTTAAGAAGGGGGAAAAAAATAATGTCTTATGAGAAAGCCAGCCAAATCTGCCCACTTACGTCCTCTATGAGCCTGCCAGCCAGCCCCCAGCTGCTGAACTTCAATCTCCATCAGAGGCTGAAGAGCTGTCTTCTGGCAGAACATTCCTCTACTACAAGTGTTGCTAGACTATGACAGTGCTACCTCTTAACTTTTTTATGGATCAGGGAAACAAACTGTGCTTCTTGAGCACTGCAATATAGGCAAGATCTTGAATCATTTGGACTTTTTCTGAGGCTATTTAAAATTTCCAAAGATTTTAATGTAGTGTCTATAGAAGGATTGAGAATAATATTAAAATAATATTATTTTAATAAGAATAGCAAAGGTTGTTCATTGAGATAAGACTCTTTAAAACCTGTGTGTTTTCCTGTCCTGTAGATTGAGTCTATTAGCCAAGACTAGATGGTATGCAACTATTTCTCAGTTTTACCTTATTTAATTAGTAGCTACTTTCCTCCTGAGACACTATAGTCAAAAAGGAACATTTTCCAAGGGGTCAGATTCACAAAATAGGTCTGATAATATATTTATAAATGCTATTCTTAAGTACAAATCTTTAAAGACTATATTAGACCCCTTCCAAAGGCCATGAATAACACCACTTACCTTCCTCATTTAGAAATACAGCAGGAGTACTATACATTTCTTTTGGATCAATAAAATAGAGTATACCACATAGATCCTTTTCACAGTGATGGAGTAAATACAGCCAGATTGAAACGGTGAACCTGCATGGGCAAAAATAAAAAAAAATCCACTCCTCATGAGAAATCTCCCTATAGAATTTGAAAAGCATGCATTTCACTTTAATTTAGCAAACCTGTTTCACACATGTAATCTTCAGAATAGAATACATCCTCTGCAGTGAAAAATCTTCAGAGCAACAGTATTTAAGACTCTTGGATCTGTAATCTCCTTTTAACCACGCACTTTTGTGGTAACAACATGAGAGGAGAGTAAGGGAGTGTTATCTGAATCAATTCCAGAATGTTGGGTCAGAGCTACTGCCGGATCCCACATCAATAGGGAACTGAAAACACGACCAAGATGACCTGAAGCCAACCCCCCTGCATGCAGGCTACAGTACAAAATCCCCAAATGCATGGTCTTGTAATCTTGGTTGTGGAAGCCAGGAAGAACTAAGCTGTGTCTTATACACTAAATGCCAACTGTGAAAATGTGCTCGGGAGAAGCAATTAAAAATTAATCCAGCATCTGGGTAGTACAGATAGGTATGAAGAGCTGTCACAGAGCCATCACAGGATAAATAAAGGTGGAACCTGTGCAAACTATGGAGCAGTGCAAAATAAAAACCCGAAGACCTGACAACACTATCTACCTATTAATTTCAGTTTATAATGTTTGAATTGTTTATAATGCTTTAGAATTGGGTCAGCTTGCCTTGCTTCTCTCTCAAGAAGCTGCTGAACACAGAGTACCTTGTATCTTTTCCTGAACTAAACCAATATAGGTCTGAAAGCCTAAGACCTGCTCTCTTGCTTAAAAAAGATGCAAGGGTGGTGAAGTTTTCCCCAATAGAGTCTATAACTCAAACAACTAATAACTCCATATCCTCCAGAGATGGTACATGCTTGAGGTAGAAGGGTTTTCAAATCACAATCACCTGTTTATTGATTCTTACAACCTACAGGCAAACACTGTGCTTCCAGAAATACTGCTTATGCTCATGTAGCTCTCTTTTCATCTTTCATCTCTGGCAATACAGCAAGCTTCAATGCCACAGCCTCCATTTAGGCCTTGATTGCCAGTCTGAACACATAATTTGTTCTGGACAAACGTCTCGGGGCAGAGTTGGGATAATGCTGACTCCTTTCCCCCAGCTGCTGCTGCAGAATGCATTCTGTACGGCGTGAGCCGCCCCTCACAGTCCCAGCCTGTCCTTACTGCGGGCCGCCCGCTGGCAGCTACCCCAAACGGCAGCTGTCTGTCTCCAGTCCTCTTTCTTTACAAATCCCTGACTGAAATCAAACGAGTTAGACCCATCTGCATCTATTGGCCTGCTGGTGCACCAGGGAACCACTGCCCACATGCGGAGAACTGAACAAAAACGCTCTTCTTCTTCCTAACAGAGCTACCCCAGGCTGCCACTCACACGACCGTAGCACTCAGGCAATGCTTTGGGTTAGACACAGGAGACACCACCCAAAGCCACGAGAAGGTGGAACTGTGGGGAGCAGGTAAAGACCTGCATAAATTCATGCCATATATTCTCAACCAGAGTTTGCGTGCCTCAATGCCAGAAGCAGAATGCAAGCATGCTGGTGAGCAGTGGGCTGTGCAAACCAGGCTCTCACCCATCCAGAAGAGGCCAGGAGCTAAAAATTCCTCTGTACTTACGACTTCAGGGCTATAGTTTGAGGGCTAATAATTTGTATGCAACCTAGACTATCTAGCAAGCCTTCTTTGGCACTCATTGTGGTCACAGCCCAAACACAAACGAGCAGGCAAGTTCCAGTTCCTGCAATCATTTCCTATTTCTATAATAATGTTGCCAGGATAACAGCATCTGGTGGAAGGGAGATATATTTATTTATCTCTCTATATACTTCTTCCTCTAAAGTTGCAAAATATGACAGAACACTTGTCACAATCTGGGGAGGGAAGAGCAGAGAAAGATGATCTTCCCAGAGTGATGCTTCTGTAACTGAAGAACATGCAGGGGCTAAGGGGCTTTACTCCTTTACTCCAGTCCAGCTAGGACAGTTTACACAGTGATGGTGAAAGGAGACAGTGTAAGCTCAAGCTGGGAGACTTACCTAGGCTGGAGACTCTATCACTAATGGCATGTCAGATGCAAAATAAACTAGAGTGTGAATTTATAAGGAAAAAGCTGCTCCACATTGCTTGCCCTTGCAAGAAACTGTACTCTGGACTTAAGTCTGCCAACCGTGTTTGAAATGCAGATCTCTGTCATGCAGAAAACCCCGGGCTAGCTAGTCATGAGACAGACATGACAGCACCTAACTGCTAACTCACCCTCTGCACCTAACTGCACCTAACTGCACCTAACCAGCTCAGTTACACCTGCTACTGGCACCTCTGACACAGCACTGCACTGACACCCACTGCAAGTATCTTTCTGAGGTTCAGCTTAAGCCTCCCCAAAAATGACACCAGAGAACAGAAGGAATTGCTAACCAGTTCCTCACGAGCCTTTCCTTAAATTAGTAGGCAGTATTCTTTTAACTTGTGGTATAGCTTAAGAGTTTAAGTACATTCTATAGCCTTCAATAATCAATTACAGCCCACTTCAATTAGTTGCCTATACTTACATGGGATAATCAATCTGATGTTGTCTGACTGTCTCAAGTTCTCTGTTTTCAAATTGTTCAAATTTCTTCACGATTCCTGTTTTCTCCCCACTGGAAGCATATATAAAGTGGAGAATCTGGACATCATCTGCAAAATACAATCTTTCTTAATCTGCCAGACAACAAGCATTGGTAGTAATTAGCTCACACTCGTACAGTCAAACATTTGAATCACACAAAAGATTAAAAATTAACACAAACCTTCATTAAGTCCTTAAGAAGAACTTCACTCACTGTTATTAACTACATTACAGTCTTGGACCAAATAACCCCTGGAAAGTGAAGTGGAGTGCAGTGGAGTCCACTTCCAGATGGTATTAGAAGCAGGGAAGGAACAGGCTTATTTAAATCCAAGATAGTTAAAGGAACCAGCTAGAAAGGAACAAACCTTCCATTTCTGTTACTCACTTAAATCTCATCCTATCTTTGGTTATGCCTATGTGACACTACTCCACCACTCTTGGACTTGCTCTCCATTCTCAGCTCTCCATTTTATACTGTATCTATGAACAGATACCAATTCTGTTCTTAACTGATATGCATAACCCTGTAACAAATCTCATAAAGCTGCCCCTTTTAAGAAACAGGAAAAACATCTTCAAGGCCATGATGTGTCATGAGCCTTCCTAGAAAAACCACCAAAACAAAACTAAACCAAACCCAAAAGCCAAGCAATTTCTTGTAAGATTATTTTAAAAAATAAATTCAAATTAAATGTTATTTCCTCCTATTTCTTGTTACACTGTTTTTGTCTATAATACAAGATGTTTCACAGTGTTGTCAGAGATCACATGCTGTCTCCAACAAGTATTTTGGAAAGCCTTGGAAGGAAACAGCACCATTGCTTCCCCGTTCCAAAATAAATGACGCAATTAGTACTATGGGATTTTCTAGCAAAGAACCCTTTAGAAGTAAATTTTCTTTTTCCTTATAGGTGCTGTTTTAGACATACACTGAAAATAAAAATCATTTGGGGAAAAAAAACCCAACATACAGTTTATTGCACTATAAAGACTTAAAAATGTGTTTCTGAGTGTATGGCCATCCTCTTAAGCAGAAGTAGACCAACTAGGTGTGTGAGAATTATGTACATAAAAGCTGCAGGACTGACCCTGAAATAACAAAGTAAGGGACTGAACAAGTCTCTCTGAAGTCAAAGGAATAATGTCTACTGACATCAGTGGGTTTCAAATAAAGTTGTCTGAAAACACTTAGAAGAGAAGGCCAGGCTGCTACACATCTCCAGGCCAGGTGAAATAAGCCAGCTCTGAGGACATGATGGCTTCACTCATTTTCAGCTGTAACCCCACAGTGTTTGTCCAGTAAATCATTCTAATGTAACATTTACCAATTACTACAGGTCTGGACTTTTTACCTGCAAAACAAAGATGTTATGTTATGTTAGTTTCCTTAGGGAAAAACATGACATTATACCTACCACTTTCATGAGGGCACTGAGGTATCCTGTTTGCCTGGAGCATCCATAAATAGTCAGCACCCCACTGAAGACAAAGTTTGTGGTCCTTATATGGGCGCTCAAAAGGGGGAACTGCTTCCAAAAACGTGTAATTCTTGGCAACTGCATCCTGGTAGTCTTCATTCTGCTCCACATCATAGCCACTAACTGATTTGTGACTAATCCATGCATATAATATCACACTGTGCACTATTATTGAGTTTCTGATGATATAATCATCTCTGTAAACCATGACGCTTGGAAATTTCAAATGTACTTGTCGAGTTCTGCTAACATAAAGGTTCTTCTCATCCTTCCATCTCCTTCTATACACTGGTACACCAGTCCTGAACTCAGAGGAAGCTACAGCTTCCAAGTTGATGATACAAGGCTTAGAACATAAATACTGAACTGAAACCACAGAATTATTAAGAACTTTCTTTTCTAAAATGTTTAAATGAATGAAGTCCACATAATTTATGTTTTGTTCAAACTGTGGAGTAACTGCCGTTGTCCGAAATGTCTCCTTTCCAGAGGCTGGCACAAAATTCTGGAAAAAAACCCAAACCACAAAATATGTTAACCAGAGAATCTAAGCTTATGTGATTACTAACATACTTGTAGCAACAACAGAGCCCTGCACGAGCAGAACGTTTATATACCACACTCGAACTCCAAAATCCCAGAGTTCTTTCACGCAGCAGGCAGCCGTGGGTTACGGGAGAGCTGCCACCCCAGGTTTTAATGGCAGCAACTCCCCTAAATCAAATTCTCGGAGTTACGCACGCTTCTACAAACAGCCCGTATTTGCTGGGTGCACCCTCCAGCCCTTCCGCCAGCCGGATCCGCTCTGAGATACTGGGTCACACCTCATGTGTTCACACATCGGCCTCAAGGCTACACACGAAAAGGTACCAGCAGTTATTCACCACACTGCTCTGCACTAGCACTGCCACAGCCTGACGTTTCTCTCTGTGTTTAAAAAGTTAGCTAATTTTGTTACCTCTCCTGCAGGTACCTGAAGGGCAGAATAACAACTGTGGCAGCTCATAATGGTTTCCTCAGAATGAATGAATGTTTGTGAAGGAGCCTATTATTGAAATGTTCCTGTCCTGAAGATGGACTTAGAAATCTGAGCAGCAAGACTAGCAGGCATTTGCCCAGCTTTTGCTCTCCACAGTTATGTGCATTATAATATACTTTGAGAGTGAGCACTTGGACACACACCAGGATTATCCTCCATGCTGAAGTTCTTGTCACTAAGGCCTCAAACAGCTTCTTTTCTGTCTGCTCTGCAGTCAGTGTCCAGCTTCATGCACTGCCAAGGATACCGAGGATTACTCAGCTCAGAGGACCAGCCACCAGCACAGCACTTCTGCCAGGTCCCCTGATCCCTCTGAAATATTCAGAATTGTCTCTTAGGATTACCAGGGAAGCTGGTTGTTAAGATTGCTTAAAATGAGAAGATCTCTCCTGGGTGACTTTTAACTTTGTTAAATTTAAATAAATCAGACTGAAATATATCTTGAATATCTACCTTGGATTGATGGCTTTTTCACTATGATTCTCAAAATATTTAAAAGCTTGGGCCAACTCATTAGCACATTCCTAATTACCTGAATTATGTGCTGTGCACCTGGAGGACAAGACCTTGCCCACGACCCAATATGCAGATCAGTAAAAACCCCTCACAAAAGAAATTATTTTTCATTTTATGTTGACACTCCTTGAGGACTACACTGAAAAAAAATCAAGCCAGTAACACCTGTGAGGGCATAAATATTAGGAAAACTCAGAACTAATGTTACTTATACTACTTCCTTGTTCCTATAGATGAGGATTTTCGATTTAACTATGTGATTAGATGCTATTTTTTGCCCGATCTCTGCCTTCTTAAAGGCACAAAAGTGTGCTAGGGTTGCAACTGGAACACAACTGTGCATAGAGGATACTAGTTACTCCAAGATCTTGACTTTATTTAAGGCAGAAGCTGGAAGACTCAAGGGAATGAGGGAGCTTTTGGATGAGAAAGTTGGCTATCATTGCTAGCACCTGGGTAACTCTAGATAACTAAATTTATTTAAGGTTCTGAGGTCTTTCTGAATAAGCCATTTTCCACAAGAACCACTGAGTGCTCTTTATCTTCTTGTGTCCGACAAAGGACACTGGCAGCCAGAAGCGCAGTGATGCTGAACACTCATAAACAAGTGTGCAAGCACCAAGATATACACTTTGAACAAATAAAATGCAACACACTCCATAATGTCCATATCTAGGCTTTCTACAATAGGCAGTCTCTTCAGAGTGACAGCCGTCCTCTCTGGCTCATTTCCCATTCTCTAAAATGGACTCTGGAAGAATGATGTGTACTGAAGGGGCTAAAAATGGAACAGCAATAGGACGCCGGTGTCCATTTGAAAAGTTACCACCACATCATGTAGTGACACACGTGCAAAACACTGATATAAAAGTTGATTAGAGAACCTTGATTTTAATGGTGATTTGAATATCTTTCAGAGCTTGACTTGACAAAGACACTATTATTTCACATTTGCTACATAGTTCTTCGATTACAGATACCTTCAAAAGCATTAAAAGCACATAGCAGCAGCCACAAATTATTTTAAATCTCTTCCACTTGATCGTTATCATTCACATTTTTTACATTTTTTTATCTTACAGCAGAGAGTACTTGTAAACAGCTTACTCGTTGCGATATGGGGGCTGTGTCATGAGGAAGATGGTAATATATTATGAAAGTAATGCCACGTGGCTATCACAAAATGCAGAAGTCAATCAGGTAGCCACTACCACAGTGTGCTTACCACATACACACATTACTGTCAAAATGCACACAGCCAGTTCTCCATTTTCTCAGGGTCTTAGCCAATACAGAGACATGGGAGCTGGCCTCCAGCGAAGACAGCTTGTGTCTGGCCACTGTGCACTAATAAAGATGCAGCAGTGTATGATGTGGCCATCCAGTTTCCAGAGTGGCAGAAATTTTGTGGTGGGGATTCCAAGGTAGGAAGTTCTGCAACCCAAAGCCAGTTCCTTGTAGAACAAACTCCATGATGATCCTAGAACAGGATGTAACATGACTGCTGATGCATAAGGTTAGCTTCGACTGTGCTAGTCTTACTGCCTTTCCCCTTAGTGCCTGTTCTACTAAATAGCTCCCATAATGTTACTCAAGAAACTTTCCTTTGTATTCTTTGGTGCCTGGGTGTTAGTTAAGACACGTCCTGCAAAAATGCATGAAGCCTGTCAGGGTCTGCTGTCACACCATACCTAACAAACCCTTCAGGAGGCTCGCCCAGTAAGGAGCATGGTGCAAAGACCCCTCAGCGACCCCTGATGCAGCCATGGCAGAGACTGCAGTCTGTAAACTCTTCCAGGCCACAGCTGACTGTGTTATCACTTGGCTGCCCCAACACAGTGTTCCCCAGTGCACCTCATAGTGTGTGTACTATCTACATGCTCCTGCTCCCTGAGAAATCCCAGTTCTTCTGTCTCCATTATTTCTGACGAGGCAGAGTTAATTGTGCATTCACCTTTGACTACAGACAGCAGGGATGAAAGGATTACACGAGTGTGATTATGGGATTTCAATAGACCCGTTCCTCCTCACAGTAAAGAGGCGAGCCACACTGGATTCAAAACATTACCAAAAACTAGACAGAATTCAATAAGAAAGACATAGAAGCTTTGTTGCATGGAACAACTTCACCACAAAAGCTGTAGAAGTTTTTTTCCATGATCTTTTTTTTAAAACCTGCTGAATCTGAGGGAGTTAGCGCATGTCACTGCATCAGGTGTTGGGGTAAAAACCACTGTGGGAGGCAATCACAACCACCGGTAGAATGTGAAAATTTTCAGCAGCATAATATTACAGAAATTACGAGAAACCATTCTTTCACTCCTGAGTATAAGATCTCAGCAGGACCCTCCCTGAGCTCACCCCTGCTGAAACTCCACGTAACCCTAAGGAACGGCACCTGCTTGCACAAAGTGAGGATAACCGTGGTGCTTTATCTGTGAACGCCTGCCATGTCATGCTAGATTTTAAGATCTGTGAAAAGCAGACATGCCAAAAAGGCTGTTGATCTTCTCCCAGTCAGCATCAATATCATACAGGCACACAATGGCTTCAACTGGAATTTGTGTGCAGCAGCATAACGGAGGAAAAAGTACTGTAGCAGATGTCTCCAAAATAGATCTATCTCAGTAAGCCAGTGCAGCACCGCACGCACCCGTGCCCCTGTGCTTGGCTACCAAAGGCACCCCCTTCTCTCAAGCCCCGAAACTGGACGTCACCTACGACGGGAAGCCTTCTCACTCTGGACGTGACGCCCTAACGTTCCCCAGCTCGGTAAGACAGCCTCAACCGGCGCTGGAGCGCGGG